GATCAGGCAGGCACTCACTCGCCTGGGGAGGACAGGGTCATGGGTTTAGGTTCTGCCTACCCTGGGTCGGGTCGGGACTGCCAAAACCGGTAGGCCGAGGGGCAGGAGGGATAAGGGGTGCCCTGATGGTAAGGTGGTGGTGGGGTGGGTTCCTGTATGGCCTAGGGTATAGGGTGCTCACCTGAGAAGGACAGGGTCATGGGTTGCAGTCCTGCCTCCCCCTAGTTGGGTTGGCTCCTGGGACTTCACAGACTGCTCCTGGGGAGTGGTGGAGGCTGCCTGGCACTGGCTGCCTGGCTCATGCTGGGGCCACTGGGTTGCAGCAACTGCTGGCTCTGGGCTGGCAGGCTTGGAGCTGGCACAGTCACTGTGGCCAGAGTCTCCCACTTTAAGGGCTCTGTGGAGGGGGGGAGGGAGCAAAGCTTTCTTGGTTGTGCCCAGACTGGCCACCAGGGCACCCTGGGAAGGGCTGGAGGCCTCCTATTTCAAAATAAGCATCTACACAGCACTTATTTCAAAATAGCAATTTCAAAATTGGCACTGTTCCTCATGGAATGAGGTTTACCAATTTCAAAATAAGCCCTCTGCTATTTTGATTTAATTTTGAAATAGCGGTTTGGCTGTGTAGACACTGGTAAAGCTATTTCAAAATAACGGCTATTATTTCGAAATAACTTTGCTGTGTAGACAAACCCATAGGGACCTGCACTGGAACAAAGTATTACTCTGATATTTTTTTCTAGGTCATGGTTCTCATTATTTACACTTTATTAACCCTAGACAGTAAACACCTACTTTAAATGGATTTAGTAGAACAAATTCATCCTGAAAGGACTCATGATTAATGTCATACTTTCATCAGAAATACACTATCCAAAGTGTATTGGACACACATGCATGCAGTATCCTCTTCTGCAAGCATTTACACTTTTTAGATGCCTTTTGCTCTTTTATATCCCTGACAAACCAAAAATTCTCTCCTGGATTACTCACTTAAAAATTATATTTTTCTTATTTATCAGATGATTGATGAGTGGATTAAAGAAAACTTCGGATATTTGACATACAGAGCTACCTTTTCCTTTTTATCCAGTAAGAAAAATATTACTAGTGATATACCCCATTATAAAAAAAGGCACACAGAACAGTAACATCATTGCTTCTAATACAAAGGAAGATGTTTTAACCATACCTTCTGCATGATGGCAATCTGAAATAGAACAAAGAGGAAGCACCTACAAAATGAGTGCACTCAACTGATGGGTTAATCTTTAACTATTCAGAAACAACATTAATGAAGAAAAGGAAACCCATAGGCTACATTTTTGTAGATTTTCCCTTGACTTTTATTTCCATTGAGTTACTGGTAGTATATGGAACTTTTCTGGAAAAGCCATTTTCAATTATCTCACACAAGCTTGAAGAACTCACAACAAGTTCTCTTTTTTGGGTACTGTGTCCAATTCATTGACAGGTGAAGATTTAGTATGTATTCTAGGCTATAATACTATGGCTGTATATTACACCAAACAAACAAACAAAAGAATTACCCTATGAAATATCTACCCAAGCCAATCTATTACTGAGTGAACTTTGACTTGTTCAGAGTACTGAAATGTGGTATATAGGAAGTGATCTGCATCTTTAAGTGGTTTTAAACTATTAGCTAGTGGTGTTATATAATTGAAAAAAATCATTTTAAAATAAAAACTATTTTATTTACATTAATGTGACACATGATGTTTCTATAAAATAATATTTGGGTTCTGATATAGTCATGGCATATCCAGAATTAGCCATCACAAAGAAGCATCTTTGGTCATTACCAAGAATTATGAAGTGATGCAAAATTCAGATAACCAAAAATCAGCAAATTTTAAACATTTATGGAGAGAAGAAGTAAAACAAATGCCTTACTAGAAAGGTCTCTAGGAACTCCCATTCTAGTTCTGTCATAATCCATACAGATAGAAAAAAAATCAGTCTAAAGCTACATACACTAATAGAACCAACCTCCTAGATGATGTTATAAGCAAAAGAAGAATGAACATCCGATCAAAAATAAAAAATCAAAACACAGCAAAGAAAACTGGCTTGAAAACTGAAGGAGGTCCCAGATTGATCTATGTCTGTTTGTCTATTTGCAATTGTGTAGTAGGAAACTTTAAATAGAGGAGAAAGCTAGTGTTAGACATGCATTCAGGTTTTGCGGAAAAACTTGCCAGCTGTCTACACTGGCCACTTGAATTTCCGCAAGAACACTGACTTCCTACTGTCTGAAATCAGTGCTTCTTGCGGAAATAATATGCTGTTCCCATTCAGGCAAAAGTCCTTTTGTGCAAAGTTTTTGCACAAAAGTGCCAGTGTAGACAGCTCAGATTTGTTTTGTGCAAAAAAAGCCCCGACTGCGAAAATGGCGATCGGGGCTTTTTTGCACAAAAGCACGTCTAGATTGGCACGGACGCTTTTCCGCAAAAAGTGCTTTTGCGAAAAAGCGTCTGTGCCAATCTAGACACTCTTTTCCACAAATGCTTTTAACGGAAAACTTTTCCGTTAAAAGCATTTGCGGAAAATCATGCCAGTCTAGACGTAGCCCTAGAGTAAATCAAAAGGACATAACTATTTCAAAAGCACCAGACATCAGCTTCAAAATATTGTGATGCCTTCTACTGAGATACCTGGCCATCAGAAGAGTGGGAATTCAGACCTTTCCCTGAAAGCTGGTTTCCTAGTGACAACTAAGTCTCACTACAAGTGAGCCTCTCTCAGAATATCTTTATGGTTGTTGGCCCTTGAAATCTAGGGAACACAAGTAGCTGAAGTGTCCACTTCGTATCTCATTAATACAACCTTATTTGAGAAAAATTAATTAGGAATATAAATATTCGTACCTCCGATTATGTTCTCCCTGGCCTTCTCTTTCTTTATCTCCTGTCTAATAATAATATTCCGTTCTTTTATAGAGTTTTATTCAGTAGTTCTCAAATTCCTGTACAAATGGAGATAAGTATCATTATGTCCATTTTAAAAATGTGAAAACTGAGCTATAGTATGGTGATGTTACCTGCCCAGCAAATGAGTGTTAGAATGGACAATACTATTCTGGTCTCCTAAATCCCTGTCTAGTGTTCTATTCATTAGGCCACACTTCCTCTAACTAATTTTATCAAAAGAATTGTACTGTACTTATTAAATAATTTTAAAGCCGAAAGCACATTTCCCTCCCTCCTTTTCACTTTGATTTCTTCTCTGGCTCTTCCTTCCCTAACCATGTTATATATTCTTTACTGTTCAAGTTACTTTGTGTCTGACAAGAGTATTAGTTGTCAAGATGGAAGCTCTAATCATTCCCAACTTAGCAAAAGCATTAGCTTTTAACATTGAAGAAATGCAAAATATCTGGCAGCAATCACTTATTAATTTCACAGAGAGAGTAGATAGCCTTTGGGAACAGCTTGAGGGTAGAGAACAGCTAGTGGCTACAGCACAGGGCTCAAACATTACTGTACAGAAATGCTTGCATTCATTAGAAAATAAAGTTATGATCTTGGAGAAAATAATAAAGATAATGAAAACAGTAATGGACACAATAAGATAAGGATAATTGGACTGTCCAAGGGAATGGAAAGCCAAGATCTTGTGTTTTTTTTTTCTGGCTCTAAATACTTGATATGCAGGAAAAAGGGAACAGATTCAAAATAAAAACAAGACTCGGGTAGTTTGCAAAGGATGGCATGGCATTGTTGAACACTGTAACACAGAGAGCTGCAGCAATTAAAATGAAAAATATTAAATACTAGAGACAAATGTTTCCATCTTCCAAGATTTTTCCCCACATCTGCAGCACTTCTAAAGTTTCCTCATACAACTTATGTGAAGCAGAAATATGGTCTTTCACATTCAGTTTAACTTACCCTAATGCACAGACATAAAAGATTAGACTCTCTTATCCTGATCCTGCTGACAGAACTAAAGAAGAAATGCTAGGATGCTACAGTGTTTGACATGTTAGAGATGTGTGGATATTTGACCTCTCTGAGCCAATGATGTTACTGTGAACTGAAATCTTTAGTGATATTATGTAGTACGAGCCTTTCAAATTCTGAAGATCTTCACCTCTTCTATTGGGCAGCATAAATTACAGGTCTCTCAATTATATCATTTCCATGTGATTTATATGGTGATTGTTCCTTTCTGGTCAAGAATAATTGGTCATGTCAAAGTAAGTAAAATTCCATAAGTTGTCTCATCTATTGAAATGAAGATTTCCATGTTCCATTTTATCTTTAGTTTGAGTCAAATGAGTTTTGTGAGTTGTTGTAGTGATTTAAAGTGAGAGTACAAAGTCCTTATATGTCTAGTTAATGTCAGAAGGTCTGAGTGTAAAACAGTGGTGCACAGTCTATCAACCAAATAGCTAATTTGTTCTTGAACATAATCTTATAGGTAGAAAAGATTTGGAGATATTTAGTCTAGTCTACATTTTCAGTGGTGATTAGTGATTTGGGTTGCCTTAATTTTTGGGTGTCCATATTGACATCATCTGAAGGAATTCAAAGAGTTTGGAGTTTCATATACATTCTATGAGCTTGAAAGAATGATTGCTTGGGTTTTTTAAAAACCTTAAGCACTTCAAGAAATAGAAGTATTTTCTCTGTGACTCGTAGAAAGTTTTTAGGGTATCAAACATCTCAATTGCAAGAGGCTGTCCATTTGTTTACTTAGATCTAATTGATGCATCCATAATTAAATATTTTAAGTTTAGTTATATACATATAATCAAACAGTAAATGATTAATCAAAATATATAAACATTGATAAAGATAAACCATTTGCTGTGTCTGTTTCCTGATACTACAAGTTATTATGCCCCTTTTCTGTTGTTTTCTCTCTATAAATATGAAAAATTAAACTTATAAAAATTCTAAAGATCAATTGAAGATTGAGAACTGTAGGATTGTTTATGAAAACTTTGTTATGTGTATTTCTTTGTGCTGCAGATCTAATGCATTTGAAGTGCTGGCACTCGATGGAGTTAGTACTGGAATACTTCAGTTTTATACAGCGCAGGAAAGTGCTGACTGGCTGAGAGCATTAGCAACTAACATCAGTGATTTGACACTTCAAAATGTATGTTACTTTCTGCATAATTTCCTACATTTGCTATATTTAGCTTATTTTTAATTTTCTAAGCATAGTATAATAATTCATATATAAGTTATAAAGGGGAAGAAAAGAAATGGTAGTAACTTAAACATTAACTTGAAGACACCAAGACAACGTAAACATATTATTTAATAAAGTTTATAGCCTCAAGATGAATTTATTGCTTTCAAAAAAATTGTGTGGGTCCCAGTCACAACTGACTTTCTCTTGATTTCATTGGGTTTGGAATGAGGACTAAACATATTCTTTTAAAATTCTTGCAGTTAAAATATGCTTGAAATCTGGTTTCAGAAGTTTGCATTATTTGTTTTGGATGTATGTGAAGGGAAAATTTGTAAAGCAGTGTAGTTTAGGACTGGTTTATATAGTTTTTCTACTGCTATGATTAATTTAGAATTACAGTCCCCTAGTCTGGTCACAGTTGTACCACTATGTAGGTGTTTGTATTGGAATTAAGAGATTGCTGTAAAGTTAAAAGTAATGTTTGTAATGATGGGGCTTGTGGCTTCAATCCTATGGAACACACATACCAGAGATCAGGGTTTCTGCCCTGCAACAGGGTGTTGTGGCTTTTCCCCCATAGGAAGAATCTGAAGCTCTGAGCTCTGCCAGAGGGCAGAAGGCCAACTTTTCCCTCCCCCCCACAAGTCTGTTAGGCAGAGAAGGGGGAGTATTGTGGGTTCTAGAAGCTGTGCTTAACTGACAAAAAAAAATCAACATATGGTTTCAGAGCTGCGGTTTGGCCATCTGACTACATAGTATAATAATTTAGATCTCTACCAATTTTCTGTTACTGATCACCAGGGTAACAGTAGTACATCTAATGTGCATCTACATTTCCATTCCTCTTTGAGAAAGGCAGCGGTCAAATTTCCTTAACATAGTGTTTCAGACCTACAGTCTGAGGAACAGCTCAACAAGCCTGAAAAGTAAGCATTGCTATGTTTGGAAGTCTTCACTGATTGTAAGTACATACAGGGGAGTGATAGAAAGTTCAACCAAATAAGGTCAGTTTAGATGCCAGACTGATGCCACAAGCCAATACTCATATTGGCAATTCCAGCACAGGTCTTTCATCACAATCTGGAACTTTTGCTAGTGGCAAAGCAGTGGCCTACATCATGGACAGATTTTCAGCAGTCTGACTGTCATGGAAGATGGGGAAGTAATCTTTGGGTGAAGAGGAAGTTGGCTCTTGTCTAGCCAAAGGAGGGCACCATGGAATGACAGTGTACCTGGAGAGAAATGCTACCTACCTATAACATGTATCGGCATTGTTCTGAAGTAACTCTGCAGACAGTTCTGAGAGGAAAGATGGATAGGAGGGGCATGAGAGAGGAACTAGAGTCAAGGTGGGGAAGAACAGGATATGGAGGAGGAGAATAACATGCATTGAACTCTTTCAGCTCTCCTAATTACAGGTTAAACCTCCCTGGTCCAGCACCCTCTCAGAGTAGGGTTGCCAGGTGTCCGGTATTGTACCGGACAGTCCAGTATTTGCGTGCTCTGTCCGGTAAAAAAAAATCAGAAATTATCAGACATGTGCAATGTCCGGTGTTTTCTGATTTTTCTGGCTGCACACCGGACGGAAGCCTGGTGGTGGGGGGAGCGGATGGGAGTCGCAGCTGGGAGGCGGGGCCGCGATTGCTGCCCAGAGCCCTCAGTCGGTTGAGTGTGAGGAGGAGGGGAAGCTTCCTCCTCGCTTGTGCATTGCTGGGAGCCTGCATGGGACAGGCAGCAAGTGCCCAGGTCAGTCCCACTCCCCGCCGGCCAATTTGCTCACCCCCCCCTTCCCAGCCAGCTGGTTCTCCCCCACTTCTCCTCCTGATCTTCCCCAGCCACTCCCTGCACCCTCCCCAGCTCTGCTTTCTGTCAGCCCGTTCCTCTTCCTGATCTCCCCTGGCCAGCACTTCTGCACCTCTCCCCGACCCTGCCAGCTCTGCTTCCTGCCCCCCC